CATGGTAAGTATTTTGTGGTTTCTAAAATGTGGTCTACAGCTGTCGGTTTGTTCTATATTTGTCATTATTCTAATTAACTTTTTTTGTATGGTAAATATGGTCTGTGAGTCTGTACTATTGCCCCATAGTATTATGCCATAGCTTATCCACGCTTGGGCATAAGCATAATATGTGGCAAGTGCGGTTTTAAAGTTGGTGGATTTTTTTATTTCATATAAGGCGTAGGAAAATTTCGATAACTTTGATTTAATTTTTTGTATATGTGATTTCCAGTTGATATGTGAGTCTATTGTTAAGCCGAGTAAGGTAAATTGATTTACTTGTTCTATTTGGATGCTATTGAATTTAAAGTAAATTTTAAGGGGGGATTTTTGTTGAGGGTGAAAAGTCATAAGTTTGGTTTTTGAGAAGTTGATTTCTAAATTATGGTGTTCCATCCAGTTTACTGCTGCAGAAAGGAGAGTGTTAAGTTTATTATCTAAGTTCATATTGTTTTGGCATGACGTGATAAGTGATATATCGTCAGCAAACAGGACGCATGGTTCTTTTATGGTCTTAGGGAGGTCATTGATGTAGATGAGGAACAAAAGGCACCCTATTACACTTCCTTGAGGAATTGATGCATTTACAGGTTTGCATTCAGATCTTATCTTAGATATTTGTTTGGTTTGATTATCAAAATATTCTATCTCCACAAGTTGTTCTCGGTCTCTAAGATATGAAACAAACCAATCATGAGCTTTTCCCCTTATTCCTATTCCTTTTAATTTATCCAGCAGTATGTGAAATTGTACCCTATCGTAAGCCTTTGTCATGTCGAGCAGTATACCTATCGCGTAGTTCTTGTTGTCGATAATATTTAAAGCTTCTTGGATATATTTGTATACTGCCAGGGTTGTGGTTCTATTTTTACGAAAACCATTCTGGCAGTCGTCTAGTATATTATATTTTTCACAGAAATCATAAACGCGCTCGCACATTGCTTTCTCGAATATCTTCGAGGCTGTAGGTAGTAAAGCTATGGGACGGTAGTTATTTGGGTCTGTTTTGTCGTTCTTCTTGTGAATTGGCTTTATTATGGATTTTTTAAGTTGGTTTGGGAAGGTTCCTTCTTCGAATGATTGATTTATTAATTTATAGAATGGTAGTGTTAGTTCGTTCGCACATTGTTTAAGTAAGGAGGGAGGGAGCTCATCAACGCCATAACTTTGTTTGTTTTTTAAGTTTTTTATGATGTTATTTACTTCGTAGGGATCTACAGGTTTGAGAAACATAGTATTTTCTATTTGACGTAGTACGGGGAAACCTTTAGGGGTAGGTGTAGTTGTTTTTTCACCAATGGACATAAAAAAGTTGTTAAAAACGTCAGCAACCTGTGAAGGTTCATTGACCAGACTATTGTTTAGGTTTAATTTTATATTGTGTTTTTCGCTGTTAATTTTTTTATTTGTATTTTCATTAATGATCCTCCACATGGTTTTTGTTTTATTTGAGGATTTATTTATTCTTTTTATATATTGTAGCTTTTTTGCTGTTGTTACAGATTTTTTTAATATTTTTTCGTATTTTTTGTAGTATTGTAATAATACGGGGTCATTTGATTTTTGTGTGAGGATTTTTAGGAGTCTTTTGTTTTTACAGGATAATTTAATACCTTTTGTTAGCCAGTACTTTTTCTTCTTTGCATTTAATTTTTTTTAAATTTTTGGAATACATGAATTGAGAATGTTTGTTAGAATATTATTAAAAACGTTATAATTTTCGTTTATGTTGTTAGTTTTTATTAAGATGTCATTCCATTTTATTTTGTTAAGTTCGGATTTAAAAGTTTGTATGTTTTTGATAGTAAATAATCGTTTTCTTGTGTGCCATATTATGTTTTTGTTTTGTTTATTCGATATTGTATGTAAGATGGTGGCATTGTGGTCGGAGAAACCGAATTCTTCAACCGTTGTGTATGTGTTATTGTTTTTAAAGTTGGTAAATATTAAGTCTAAACATGTCGAAGTAGTCTGTGTTATGCGTGTAGGAACTTTTATATGTTGGTTAAACTTATATTCTAACATGAGATCTAAGAATAAATTTGTTCTTAAATTATTTTCCAAAGTATTAATATTAAAATCTCCACCTAATATAACATTACGCTTAGAAAATTTCTTACTTATTAAGGACATAATTTGTTTTAGTTTAATTATAAATTGATCTTCTTCCTTTCTATTCCAATAACAACTCAGAATTAACATATTTTCCTTTTTTATCTCTATTGCACAGATTTCTAAACAATACTCAATAGACATATCACAAAAATCACTTATCTCTACATAGTCAATTTGGTCCTGCAGTAGGATGCACACGCCGCCGCCGGTTCGGGAGCTGCGACAGTACGATGCTGCAATTTTGTAGCCATCAAATCGCAGAGTATCCAGTTTTTCTTGTGATAGCCAAGTTTCACTTAAGCACATGACATTGTATATGGGTTTCTCGTCAATAAATGCTTCTAGTATGTGTTGTTTGTTGCAAATACTTTGGATATTTTGAAATAAAATTTTAAATTCTTGGTCCGTGGTTTCGAAAAGTATAGTTTTTACGATTTGTATCTTCTCTATTAGTTTCATGCGTATTGTTTTTTGTAGTGGGAGAAGGTACGCAGTTGTTTATTGTTTCGTCGTTTCTTTCAGCATTGTTTTGGGTATTTGTTATTTCCTTGTTAACCAATATTCTTTTTCCTTCTATGAACAATTGGTTGTTTCTAATTGTTGACAGCAGTTAAATTAAACGCTAGTTAACCCGTAATTTTATTGTCATTTTAATGTAATGTGAAATTAAGTGTTTCCGCTCATACCTACAGGGTGAACAAAAAGTTAGCAATTTAATAATTTTACGTTTACTTGGCAAACGCAGCTGTTTCATACTTGATTGTGTACATGTACATAAGTATTTTTTTTGTGCAATTTAAATTGTCACATTTATTTGCAAAGGTACATAATATCAGACACCTGCTTTTGTAAAGATATTTATAGTACCTATCTTTTATTAGTCTAAAAATCAAGTAGCGTAGTGGAGTAATACCACGGCCTCACAAAACCGACGTGTGTTTCGTCGTGTGACTGAGATTACCGGAGGCCCAATTATCCCCCCCCCTCTCCTTAATCCCTGTCCCAGCAATCCACAAATATCTAATCCCAAAAGCCCGGTAACGCACTTGTAACACCTCTGGTGTTTCAACTGTCCATGGGCGCCGCCGATTGCTTACCATCGGGTGATCCGTCTGATTGTTTATCGGCTACCCCATAAAAAAAACTTCGCATAAATGATTATCGAAATATATATGTTTCTTCAGTTTAATCTTTCCATTGTTGGTGACGATTACTGCTAAACGTAGAAATACTACTAAACGTGGAATTTTTTAAAGATTACGTATGTTATGTACCTATGTATACCTATGTTATTTTTTTTCTTTTAAGAACTTCGTTAGATTTTACCATAGGGATAGATACAATCATTCTTACCCTGGGCATGCGGATGAAACCGCTGTCAAAAGCTAGTATACAATAGACTAGTTACTTATATACCACGAAATGTTGTATTTATTTGGTGTCTGAGCCCAAGGCCCTCCGCGTCGCGATATTGAAATAAGCTGCCGAAAATAACTTCGCCACGTGGGGGCGGCCGGCGACGCGACTTGCGTATGCGCCTCTCCAACACAAACATAAACATCACAATTATTGTTTTTTATGGCAACACGAATGGTCGTATTGTATTTTTTAAGACCTAGTAATCTCTTTTATTGTATTATTTTCATGATTTTTATGCATACAGTAGGCATTACGCTTTCATTCAGGTTTTATACATTTTTAACATCATTATAACGCAGTTGTAATTTGTCAACATTAATGTCACCTTTCTGTCTACCTATACAATAGTTTCTCGATTTGCACTTAATCGAATATAATAAAAAAATAGTCTAGATACTACGTGTAGCACTGTAGCATTCCTAATGTATTAAAAACTAGATCAATAACTCCAATACAAATAAAATACATGTAAATTACTTGCTAGATGTGATGACAAACGTTAGGACACGAGATACTAAATAAAAAGTTAAAAAAATATCTCTAAACTAATTCCTTAATCACCTAGTGTGGTCGGTTAAAACTGACATTATAAGTGCATCACCCTATGGTTGGCTGGTAAAGAATGCCATTCGGCATTAAGTCCGCCATTGTATACATTTGTACAAAAAGTGTTAAAAAAAAGTGGTATCAATTCAGTAAATATGCCACAAAATGTATAAGAAGCTACTTATATTATAATAATATAGTATTCTAAATCTATCTACCTGTGACTTCGTCGCGACATCTGTTAGTAATTATTGAAACTGGAACGCCAGCCAGAGACTATATTTCAGTCAGAATCAGTATGTTTGCCTGATTTACGGACTATTACCATTGGTACGGATGTACCTGGATTTGTGCCTAAAATAACAGTCTATAACTAGACCAACGATGAATCTTCAAAGAGAATAGCCAGTAACAGTATTTTAATAAAATAAAATATGTTTATTTATCACCACAATATTATAAACCTAATTCATAAATTACAATGTTATTTTATTCTGACTACTCTGAAGGTAACGCAGCTGAGTCTGCATGGAGGATAATACCCGGGGGATGGCAATTGATTCATCCTATGGGATGGTGGGAAATCATCCAATGACTTCTTCCGCCTTGGGTGAGGCGAGAGAGAGTGTCAGACGATTACTGACTAAAGACCACCCGTTCCTACTCCTGCTTTAAACCGGAGCCCCGTTAACCTGTTAGGTACCCCATAATACTTGGCACTCACAATTAGTAAAGAATGGGGAGTAGCGCTCTCTATTTTTATAAATGTAACCTTTACAGCTACGCAGATACGATATTACCAATATGGCAAACCGTCTTGTCGTGGTCTCTTATGATTAAGGATTGATAACTACAGTTGCCTATTATTTACGTTTCAGATGCAAGAAGACGGGTACGTGGTCTTAGAAGACTTCCTGAGCCCATCAGAATGTGACGAGATGGTTGCAGCGGGAACAGAATTCACAAAGAATTTACCTCCTAAAGAACAAAGGATCATTTTCTCTACGGTCAACTCTGAAAAGCAGGTAAATGTCTTCGTTATTCGTTATACCTCTGTAACAAATTCTGCCGCCAATCATCGTTGATGACAAGTTAGGTTAGGTTAACGTAACGAACTTAGACTAATTCCTCCGACCGAACCTTATATTGATGAAATGTCAACCTCGCAAAATTAAACCTTATAACGTAGGGGCTATAATATAATGGCATTATTAAATTGAACTTTCCTGCTTCTACAGTTCTTGGTTCATTTAAGGGTTCTTAAAAAGTCAACTGTCTATTCTACATACACACATAACCTCACGGCTGTCTTTCATGTGAGTAGGGAGAGACTATGGAACGCCAATTCCTACGAATATTACATACCTCTTTTTCATCAACAGTCATTAGTCTTTTCATGCATGCTTGTCGGTTAAGGTTACTGTCTAATCTAAAATTCTATAAAGGCTCTTCTATGTCTATCTATCAACCTTTTTAAATAAGACTCGAATGTGACACGGATTTTATAGGCAAAAATTTTCCACCTATCCAAATATTTCTCTTCTCTCTTTATACAAGGTGTAGTTTTAAAGCCGTGTCATTTCTCGGGAGCATGTCACAGAAGTCATAAAGGTTCAATGTAAGAAAAAGTTCGATAAATATCTATTGCATTTACCATGCATTACTAATATTTGACCCTTTCTCGTTCCAGCAACTAAAAGACGAGTATTTCCTGAATAGCAACGATAACATTAGTTATTTCTTCGAAGAATCTGCAGTCGGGCCTGATGGAGAATTGGCTGTAGACCCCAGTATATCACTAAACAAAGTAAGTTTAAATAGTCAAGTGCATGAATTCTGGTCTTACTCTGTCTTATAAAAAATTTGGATTAATCAAAGAAGTTAAGCGCCATCAGCTCATTAAGTTAAGCCCCCCAATAGAGCTGATGGTGATACGGAGTCGCGGAGAACGTAAAAGGTAACTGGGGCTCCGGCTTGAAGTGCAGTAGTAGGAACGGGGTAGTTTTTAATCAGTGAGAGATTGACACCGGACACTCACCACCTACCACCCTTAAAAAAATCGTCATGATGGCGTCCTACTTTTCACTTGCTTACAAAACTTTCATTCTGATAGGATGTGTAAGGACAAAGTAGTAGTTACTTTATAAGGTTTATCAGGAGGTAACTAATACTATTTCTTCTGGTTCCAGGTCGGTCACGCGTTGCACTACCAGCACCCGATCTTCAGATGCTACACGTATTGTGACCGCGTGAAGGAAGTTGCCAAAGCTCTGGGCTTCAAGGAACCGGCGGTGGTGCAGTCCATGTATATCTACAAGAACCCTGGTATTGGAGGCGAAGGTAAGATATTTTATTCTTCGAATTCGATTTATAGTGGTAATGTTCACTGTCAAATGCGTGTCCTTGTCTTTGTAAAAATCATTAAATGTTTCCCCTCACCCTGGAAGTGTAGGGAGGGACTGCCATGCCGCCGTGTATTACAGGACTCCTCCCTAATAAAATGTATAATTTACTCTACCATCAAGACGTGTTATCTTGCAATAATTTTTGTTACAGTAATTGCACATCAAGACATTACATATCTGCACACCTCTCCTGTACCACCAGTGGGTTTCTGGATAGCTCTAGAAGATGCCACAGTTCAGAATGGATGTCTCTGGATGGTCCCAGGATCCCACAAGTCGGGAGTCCATAGACGACTTACAAGGAATCCAAATAGTGATAGTAAAGATAAACTGATATACGACAATCCAGCACCATTCTATCCTCAGTCTAGGTTTACTCCAGTTCCAGTTAGTAAAGGTAAGTCTTGACACCTTTAAATCTATTATAAGAACGACACGCTTGGTATTTGGCATTGGAGAGGTCTATATCTGGCAATGGACGGAATCGGGCTGATAATGATGATCATGCTACTATAAGAAGTGCTAATCTACGAGACCATTTCAAAGTTTATGTTGACATGTCACCATTAACGTAGGTTTAGACGAAACGAAAGAAAACTAGAACTTTCATAGGTGACTCTATAGGCTTTGACTTAGTTCTTGGGTAATGTTCCAGAATACGTAATTCATGTTCCAGGTACCTGCATAGTTCTCCACGGTAACGTAGTACACAGGAGTGCGCACAACCACTCCAGCAGCGGGCGGCCCGCGTACACGTTCCACATCATAGAGAAGCAGGACAACCAGTACTCCGCGGACAACTGGCTGCAGGAGGGAGAGCGTGCGCCCTTCTCCAACCTCTACACCACCTCGCAGCTCATGTAGACGGGTAGACCACACCCATTAACACACATTTACAACTAAGTCCCAGGATAACGTTTAAGTAAACTTTGTTTGCTTTGACATTATTTTTTGATGGATTTTAGTGACGTAATTTAATAATTAATTATAAAAAAAGTAATTACAATCGTTATTATTGACGCAAAATACATACATATTGTGAATTGATAATTGCTTCAGTTGGAAAATTAAATCGATGTCCACATAATGTGCAGAGTTTGTGGTATTAGACAAAATCGTTCACGAATCATGTTAAGTAGCTGTCGGGTATTACTAGTAATTGCACCTAGGGCCTAGGGTAACAGTTACCAAATATGACGCTCATGTTAATAAGTAAAATATCAATATAAGTGAAATACTGAAAAATGAGTCGTTAAGTTAATATATTTTTGTATCATAACTGTTGTAAGACACAGCACATTAATTGCTCGGCTTACGAGATAACACGATTAGTTTCAAGCCACGCTCGGGGCCCGTAGCGTTGGCGTTATAGCGTTACATGAATTTGTGACTATGGGCTCCTGGCGTGGTCTATTTACCTTAGTAATATATTCAAATTATAATTGTATATCTGCAATATTATTAAAAATAAATAAACGTTTAAGAATATGTGTTTGTGACGTCATTCGTAAGGACAGAAATCGAAAATAATTATCATTATATTTTATGCATTATATCAATGTGTTTATGTATGATAACACATATTTTTATTTTGTGATAAGTACATACATAAATATAAATACTTATTGTACGCCATATTTTTTGACAAAATTACAATAAATTCGATATTTTAATTAATACTTTTTTTTATTTTACGGAGGCTATAAACAACTTGTTATTTTATTAATGAAGTCCTAATAAAGACTGCTGGATGGATTTCCAACCAGTTGACCAAGAAATTGGAAGTCGTTAGGGTGTACCAAGATTCAGAAATGGATGGCGTGCGGCAGTAGTGGCCAGGTGATATGATGGTTATGGCTGAGTCGTTTATAGAGTAGTACTGCAAGGCTGAGCAAGGGTTTGATTTCAGAGCAAACTGTTAATTGGGTCATTGTAGCCAGGGAGTTTGGGATCACACCTGGTATATGGCAATATGGTGACCGGTATATTACATTCATAACTTACTCATATACGTCTGTGTGTACGTAAGATCAATCTTTTAGTACTAGTAGTAGGAATCTTAGTACTTTTAGTAAGTAGTAGTTTTAGTATCTACTTATAAAGAAGTTAAAGACTGGGAGTTTTTTTTTAAATATTGTGGACTTCTGCCCGACTCCTTGAAGTTTTAACGACTTAAATTAGTTGGTTATATTTGTACAAGACAATACGCGTAAAATTCTTCTTTTGTATGATAGTCACACTCTTTATGAAAGTGTCATAATACCTATAAAATATCACGCTACGTCATATATATGAATAAAAGTTATTCAAATATGAATTATTTACGTCCATTTTAACTAGAAAATAAAGTTATTATTTCAATTAAAAAATATTTTGTTAAACACACATTTGAAATCCAAGGTTTATACCCACGATTTTTTCAGACGCTGGAAATGAAGTTTGAGATAAAAGTCTCAAATTTTGCACAGGGTACAGAAATGGGCTCGTTATTCACCTGCTGACCCCTTTTCGGAAAAAGAAGCGTGATGTTACGTTTAATTGACGTTACAAAGTTTTGAATGTATTTTTCTCAGAAACTCGCTGTTGGATTTAAAAAGTTCTTCTTGCATACGATAGCCACACTTTTTGTAAAATGGATTTTGTATCAAACATCACGCTACGACACTTAGGAACGTCGCAGAGAGAGCAATATGCGGGAAAGAGAAATGAAAAAAACTAGAGAAATAATTAATTTTTAGTTAAAATTTGTATTTTTCTAAGATTCTGTGTCAAGTGTTATTCCTAAAATGCAACAAATCAAAGAAATAAAGCATAATCAATAAAAAATTATAATGTCAAAGTAACACCTTTATTGTTTTAATTTAGTATTAAATTTATTATTAAACGTGGATTTATGGTGTTATAATCATTATTTATGAGAATTTTGAAAAAATTGCTTTAGGCGACATCTATGGACAGTAGTAGGAAACCTGACGTTTGAAAAAAGCGCCATCTATGGTACAAATATATTAACATAATTTAACGCCATCTATAATTTTACCTCTGCAACCTTTAGTAGTGTGCCATCTATGACGCACGATACACATTATTAACTTTTATAGTTGGCAACTTACTGTGCAGTGCCTCGCTTACATCTGGAATGCGGTCTTAATCAAGTTAGTTCCGTCTAATAGATGTCGCACCAATGCACTTTTTTGATAATTATCGTTATAAATTAACTCCATAAATAATAGCTTAAACACCATGAATCACTGTTTAACGATAAAACAAATACTTACTTAAAACAAATAAGGTGTTATTTCGACATGTATATTTTTTTAATAGTGCATTATTTTATTAATTTTTTGCATATTTACGGATCGCATGTGACCCAGGAACGTAGATAAATAACTATTTTAATAAAATATCCCTTTATTCTCCAGTTTTTTGATAAAATTCCCCTTGCCGCATTTTGCTCACTCTGCGCCGTTCCTAAATGTCGTAGCGTGATGTTTGATACAAAATCAATTTTCCAAAAAGTGTGGCTATCGTATGCAAGAAGTATTTTCCAAATCCAACTGCTAGTTTCTGAGAAAATTACATTCAAAAACTTGTAACCTTAATTAAACGTAACATCACGCTTCTTTTTCCTAAAAAGGGTCAGCAGGTGAATTACGAGCCCATTTCTGTACCCTGTGCAAAATTTCAGACTATTATCTCAAACTTCATTTTCAGCGTCTAAAAAAATCATGGGTATAAACCTTGGATTTCAAATGTGTGTTTAACAAAATGTATTTTTAATAAACTAACAACTTCATTTTCTAGTTAAAATGAACGTAAATAATTCATATTTGCATAACTTTTATTCATATATACATAGAAAACGATAATTATCAAGGAAAATGTCGCGCCCATGCAACTGCACCAAGAATGCAATCATAATTATTATTTCTCATTTGTATATTGAAATAATAACTTCATGTTGTCAGGAAAATATACCTAAATTATTCACTTTCTTATGGCATAAATCCATTGATACCATGAACACAAATATATTAAATAAATCGTCGCATTCTCGCATCGAATGCACCCACTATAAAATTATAATGTTTTTCCAGTACCTATATAGGTGTATAAAAATCTACTTCATTCAGACATGAATGCACGTTCAGTGCAGTGGCTGGGCACTTGGCTGCCGCGCAACGTGTCGCGGGTTCGATTCCCGCACGGAGCAACTCTTTGTGTGCTCCACAGATTGTTGTTCCGGGTCTGGGTGTCATGTGTGAACTTGTATGTTTGTAAACGCACCTACAACACAGGAGAACATCACAATCTGGAGAAACGTAACTTAAAAAAAAAATTCCACGGGTTTCCTAACTAATTTGCACAAAATTGAAAATTACTTTTGTGATCATAATGTTTTCAAGAAAAAACTACGATGCGAGACGAGAGAAATATAATTATTATGTAGATATACGATTTACTCATATATACGAGAGAAATATAATTATTATGTAGATATACGATTTACTCATGTGTCTATTTGACGAGGAATTCGACTAGTTTCAAGCCATGCTAGAGGCTCATATTAATGAGCAGCTCACTCAGGTGCTGACCCATGGGTGCTTTGGTGAGTACCTAAACAGGATTGGGCGAGAGGCCACGTCAAATTTCCACTGCGAGGGTGACCTGAATTCCGCACAGCACACGCTCGAGGAGTGCTCAGCGTGGGTCTCTGAGCGGCGAGTCCTGGTTGCCAAGATCCCATCAGACCACCACGGATGGGGTGCAAGAGGGCTGATGCCGATACGGAGCTGCGAGGACTTAACGGGTTGCCGGGCTCCGGCTCGAAGGGCAGGATTAGGAACGGGGTGGTTTTTAGTCAATAAGAGTCTGTCACTCCCTCCCGCCTCACCCAGGCGGAAAAACAAATTTGAAGATTTTGCCCCCTTAAAAAAGGGACTACCGCGCACGCTACTGCGTGCGTACTACTCTTTCTCATCAGTAGATGAGAAAGAGTACCAGTAAAGCTTTTCTCAGTAGGTATATGTATGTGAGTAAATCGTTATTTTTAGTTAATTCAGTATGGTTCACGATAGATATTATAATATTATTAGATTAATGAAACACAGCCTTAGTAGTTATTGTTCCTTTATTGTTACAATACATTTTTCATTATTTTCTATAAATACAGCAGATATAAAATTGGAAGTACCTCTTGCCATATCCAATACCGGAGAGCCTTCCATATCAAACCTTTGAACCAATCATCTTCACGTTGAAACTGTTTTTACCCTATTATATAACACCTATTGTACACATGAATGATCCAATAAAAGAAATCAATTTCAATCTTAGGTTGGCAGACTCGAATGTTACTTTAGTTAAGTATATTATAAACTAGTTTTTGCCAGCGACTTCGTTCGCGTGAAATAGTGAATACCGGCAGATTTTTGGTTTTATCCACATAGTTCCCGAAATTTCGGGATTTTTGAAAAGTTGCCGGTCTCGCGGGATTTTCGGCATAAAAACTATCCTATGTCCTTTCTCGAGTTCTAAACTATATCTGTACCAAATTTAACAAAAATCGATTCAATAGTTTAGGCGTGAAGAAAAGACAGAAAGACAGACAGACAGAGTTACTTTCGCATTTATAATATTAGTTTTGATTTTCAATTATTATTTCGGCCGAAATAAATAACCGACCTTACTAAAATTCTAAATATCTGAATCGTTCCAGGATTTTTGACAGAAATTCAATAGAAGTTGAATTGGTATCGATTTTAGGCATTAGTCTCAATTTTATGTTACCGTTTGGCAATGGACCTCGACTAGTTTCAAGATACACTAGGGGTTCATAGTCATGAGCTGCATTAATAAGTCTAACAATTAAGCATTAGGCCCGAATACTGAAAGGCTACTCAATTTTAAGTTGTAGATAAGTTTTTTTTATGCCATAAGCCGGTATACGAGCAGACGGATCACCTGATGGTAAGCAATCGGCGTCGCCCTGGAACACCAGAGGCGTTACAAGTGCGTTACCGGCTTTTTGGGGTTAGGAGTTTGAGGATCGTTGGGGATATTGGGGAAGGGGAGGGTAATTGGGCCTATCGTATCGTGCCATCTCTGTCATTTTATAAAGAATTTGTAGAGACAGAACTATAGAGGTACATGCGCGACTTAAAATTCAGCAGTGTTTAAGTATTTCAGTGTTAGTCCTATTAATTAACAACCGATATTTAATTTTTGGTAGCACTTGGTTGCAGGTTCGGTTGAGGCGCAAACTGGCTTCAACTATATGCGCTGCGAGGTGGTGTAGAGGTTAGAGAAGGGAGCACGCGTTCCCTCCTGCAGCCAATTGTCCGCGGCGTACTGGTTGTCCTGCTTCTCTATGATGTGGAACGTGTACGCGGGCCGCCCACTGCTGGAGTGGTTGTGCGCACTCCTGTGTACTACGTTACCGTGGAGAAGTATGCAGGTACCTGGAACAATATTTAGGTATATACTTCTATAAGTTAAAAATATACGTCACCTGCTACTGGATTGTTCGCTGAACATTATACACTACGATCTCTTAACAAACCATTCTTTTGCAGAGGGGGGCACTAGTTTCATCTGTTACGGGGTATTGGTGGTAGGATATTATTGTACGATTAAAAAATTCCAAATCGATCTTCCTGGGATGAGAAATGGTTGTAAGGTAAAATAAAAAATTCATAATTTAATTGTACTTGGGGTTTATAAAATAGTATAAAATTAAAACCTAAAGGGTTTTATCCGTAATTTCCAAGTACGAAATGTTTCCAATTTAGTATCGGTTATTCGCATTTACATTAACTGTTTTACATAACATAACAACACGCCTTTTATCTCCGAAGGGGTAGACAGAGGTACACATTACGACACACAATTTTCACTACCTATTTATGTTATGAGTCCGGGCATATTTCCAGACTCCGTGCTACTACTGAGGTTTTTACAAACCCAGTAATACTTTGCCCGACCCGGGAATGCACTTGCGACGACTCGGCCAATGACACAGTCTCATTAACTGTTTTATGTTGTTAAATTGGGTTCTTTTCTTAATCAAAAATAAATTATTTCGAGTGTTCAATACAATAAAATATTAAAATATAATTACACTTTCATTCATTGATTTTATGACCTACTTAATTTTAGTATTATTCCACCAACTTTTTAAGGAATAAGGATGTTATATGACGCTAGAAAACCGTGACGTCACAATATACAATCTCGTGCAAAATTTATAGAAAACTGTCGTTTTTGACAGTTCGAAAAAAGTATTGAATTTGACTAGTGAGCAAGTACCCAATTCGAAAGAAATTAAAATCTTTTGACAGAATCTGGAGAATTTTAATTAACAATTCATGATTGTATCACCTATACAATTTTGTTATTGTTTATATAGTCTTATGTTGTTTAAGCTTCGTTTATTAACATGAGCGTCCCAAATTGTTCACAAAGCATACTGTATTAACAACGTGTATGAAAACGTACAACATCTCATGTTCCTAGCATTTTGGGGGATTAATTTGAAATTGGGGGTTCACTGGGAAATTCAGTTTGTTTAAAATGAAATGCTATAACAATGTTTTAGGAAAGACTTTTCATTTAATTGAAATACAATTTTGGTAACAAATTTAACTTTAATAGGTTTAGAACCTGTTTCAGAATTCCTGGATAGCTTCTGTCATCATCAACAGCCTATAAGTGCCCATTGCTGAGCAAAGTCTCTTTTCACACACAGAACATTTGAGTATTAATCACCACGCTTGCTCAATGCGGGTTGGATTCAGAAGACTGGAATCATGGGTAGTGATGCGCCGTAGAAGAGACTTGTGTCCGGCAAATGATGGTGATGTACGACTACAAGTTTTAGAACCTAGTCGGAGTAGGCAGCTAAGTAACAAATATAGGTTGATTCAGAAAGTTCCAAGATTTTTCAGGTACATCAATAGGTAGGAAGCAACCCAAAGAAAATTGGTTTAGAAAACTAAAAGCTTTCACAGAATGTCTGAGGGATGGTAATGAGGCACTTTCTACTTCAAAATCAAATAGAAAATTATTATAATTTTATTTATTCTTCTATTTATTTCTCCGAAGTGCCATTTGACATTTTTATTAGACTGGAACCTACCTGATAGTGGAAGATAAAGTGGTCTGTTGTATTTAAGTAGGTAGATTTATATGTAGGTAGTGTAGCTTAGCTGCTTTGAGCAACTTCAATCTTGACATCGACTAGTTATCAGAATGAAGTGGTGACGTAATGTTACTAATTTTTGGCTGATCAGTTCCGGATGCTTAACCTATTGATTGATTGCACCATAATTTACGGGGAGTTCTCCTCCCTGGTAATCTTTTACATGCTCGCCACATAATTGCATGTTACGAGGAGGAATGTATCTGAATTGACTACTGGTTTAGTAACTATGTGGTGTACCCGAGATTTCAATCTTGAGAGGATTCAATCTTACAAGGTGAATTTGGGGTTGGTTCATGACAACATAATAAAAAACACAAGTCAAGGTATATCTTACCTTTGCTGACTGGAACTGGAACAAAACCAGATTCGGGATAGTCAGGAGCTGGACAGTCGTATATCAGTTTCTCTTTACTGTCTTTGTCTGGATTCCTTGATAGTCGTCTATGGACCCCCGACTTGTGAGAACCCGGGACCATCCAGAGACATCCATTTTCTACTGTGGCGTCTTCCAGGGCTATCCAGAAACCCATTGGTGATACAGGAGCAGTGTGCAGGTAGGTGATGTCTTGATGGGGAATTACTGCAAAGGAGAGGATTGTAATGAAAACTTCGATGAACAAATAAGAGTTTCAAGTATTAAATATGACTGTCGCAACCGGGGGCTAGCTGCCATTGCAGCGGTAAGTCCCCTCTTTGAGAAGTGGCTTTAGAGATGCTATGGAGTCCTCACCTATCTACCGCTTGACGTAGGTCCTCACCGGACATGGGAGCTTCGAGAGGTACCTGTATCTGATAGGGCGGGAGGAAACGCCCGGGTGTCATCACTGCGAGGACCTCCCTGAGGAGACGGTGGAATTTACGGGAGGGAAATGCCCTGCGCGAGCTGAGCACCGTCGTACCCTCAGGGATGTCTCTCGCGTTCGGCCCTAGTCCGGGTCATGATGCGGAGCGTAGGAAATTGGGATGCCGTTTTCTCCTTTTGCGAAGCAGTCATCCTAACTAAGGAGATGGCGGGGCGCGTGAGGCAGCGGTTGCGAAGTTTTAGTCAGTAAGAGTCTGACACTCCCTCCGGCCGCACCCAGGCGGGAGAAATCATTCGATAATTTCCCCCGTCAAAAGAAAATAATGTAACTGTTTTCTTATAGGTGTATTGCTATGAACAGTCAGGAAAATTCTTGACACATTTTTGGAAACATTACGCGCAAGTTGACTTGGCAGTAAAATAATTAAAAAATTATTTGTGGAATGCCATTGTTATGTCATAAATATTTGGGCTCAAAAAATGGCGATGATAAAACAAAATAAAAACAAATGTGATCAAAAATGATTGTTCGCCAAACACGTAATAAAAATTCCATCTACGAAATGTGAAAGAATTTATGAAGTTTGTTTTTTGAAACCCGTAAAGTTTTATTGGGGCGAAAGTTAAGGGCATCTGAGGCCGGAAGAATATGAATATGGGAAAAGTCAGCGATGGCCGGCATTTGGGCTTCGTACGTAGCTGTAAGGTGACTGAGAATTGCAGCCCGGCAGTATGAGGCAATGGTTTTAAAATAACAAAATGGTGGTATAGTTTCTTGTATGTAGTCTGCTTCTTTGTTTACATGTGCGACCGTTGAACCATACAATAATATGCTAGTTTCCTAAATTTTATTTTAATGTCCGTCTGGTAGATTATTTTAAAACTTTAGACACATATTTTTTCTTTTCTCACAAAATTAAATGCTTTCCACGATATATTGATTTGAAATGTCGTGTGACGTCACAGCGTGCAACAAAATGTAGCACGTTGTGACGTAACTACCTCCCATTCCTAAACTTAACTCCATTTTATCTGAGTATTGTAACTTTATACGAGAAAATAAAAAAAAATACGTGTCTAATACTTTTTCATTATCTAACTAACGGACTAATTTGATTTTTAATTTTCTTACCCTGGAAAGTACCCCATTGCGTTTTCGGTTAATGAGATGAATGAAGCTAATACTATACCTTTTGCTATCACTCCGAGAAAATTGTAAGGTAAATGTTAAGTACCTACCTTCGCCTCCAATACCAGGGTTCTTGTACATATACATGGACTGCACCACCGCCGGTTCCTTGAAGCCCAGAGCTTTGGCAACTTCTTTCACGCGATCACAATACGTGTAGCATCTGAAGGTCGGGTGCTGGTAGTGCAACGCGTGACCGACCTGGAACCAGAACGATTAGACACCTTCTGACAAAGCTCATAAAGTAGTTTTTCCTGAACATAAACCTGTTATCCCCGAAGGATAAGGTAGACGTGCACATTACCGCACTTACGCTACTATACAATGTAACACCCACTACTGTTCACTATGTATGTTATGAGTCCCATGTAATAGGGGGTGAGCCTATTGCCATATACCGGGCACAATTCCAGACTCCGTACTACTACTGAGAATCATTTTTTTTTAAACCCAGTAATTCTTTGCTCGACCCGGGAATCGAACCCGAGACCCCTTGCCCGACAGTCGCACTTACGACCACTCGGCCAACGAGGCAGTTTTTCCTGAACTAAATAAGTAAATTCATGATGATAATTCGACTGATTTGATAACCTTTGAAATAGAACTTTTGGTTGAGATTTTAAATACCATGGCCTTAGCGAAATAGTAACAGTATTGTTTTATACAATACAGTGAAGTAAAACTACCTAGATATCAATCTCGATCCTTTAACATCTCATAAAAATCCTGGAATACCAAAATCAAATAGTTTCGATTTAAACTTACTTTGTTCAGCGATATGCTGGGATCTACAGTCAGTTCTCCATCAGGCCCGACTGCAGCATCCTCAAAGAAACAGTGGATGGTGTCGTTGCTATTCAGAAAGTACTCATCTTGTAGTTGCTGGAACAAAACTAAAATGTTAGTGGCGTGGAAATTGGCTCTGTTCGATTTCGTTCAAATATTTTTTTTAACGGGACTAGCCCCGTCGTGTTTCCCAAAGTTTGGTTCGAATTTGTTTAATTTGGGCATACATATACGTCCAAGCTTTATTCGTGAAACTAACTGACCATTTCAGTTAGCCACGTGGTTCTAATGGCAATTCGTTTACCTTTCAACTATCGGCCTAAATAAGACATTTAGCTATTTCATCATACTTCCCGACTAGCTAGTCGTCCAGGCGCTATAATCGCTGCGATATAATATGTGTATATTCTGATTACAAATACAGGTTTATTCACTTAAAATCACAGAAAAGAGAAATACATAACATAACATTACGCCTTTTATCCCCATTTGATGCCACTGTACAATGTAACACCCACTTTTCACTATTTATGTTATGAGTCCCATGTAATAGGGGGTGAGCCTATTGCCATATACTGGGCACAATTCCAGATTCCGTGCTTCAAAAGAGAAATACCGAGAATAAATAATGAGAAAAGCTCTACTAGTTTCGAGTCACAGAGGGACTCTTCTTCAAGAGTAGCGAGCGTTTCTCATTACTCTGCGTGGGTAAAACTGCGTTTTAAATTAATTTATGAATAAAAGAATTAAAAAATAACCCTTAAATAAGCGTCAAAGTACTCGTCCTATACCTATTATTATAAAACCTGTATAACCATCGTTATTGTCGAAAAATAGTGTAAATTGGCGATGTCACAACAACGTAAAAATTAAGATTCAAGGAGACTACAATACCCTTTTTTCAGCGTCAACAGAAGTGAAGACAATCCTTTGTTCTTTAGGCGGTAAGTTCTTAGTGAAATCTATTCCAGCTGCCACCATCTCGTCGCATTCTGATGGAGTCAGGAAGTCTTTGATGACCACGAAGCCATCTTCGTCCATCTGAAAATAATATGTTCAGTTATTGACAAAGAAAATAGTTATAATAAATAGTTATATTATTTGTTATATTATCACGATGTCTTGATGATCCGTGTATTAGTCAGGCTCGTCAGTCAACTACTTTTTGCTGATAAATTTATCCTGAATTGCAGTATTCACCATACGTCATTAAAAACCGTTAAGTACCCATCATAAGCATTTCTTTTTACGTATCATAGTAAAGGTTGAAAATAAAGTATTTTTGTAGGTATACCGTTTATATTTTTTATGGAATAAGCCGGTAAACGAGCTGACGGATCACCACACCATCCGAAACACCAGAGGCGTTACAAATGCGTCACCAGCCTTTAGGAGATTAGGAATTTGAGGATTTTTGGGTATTTGGGGAGATTAGGGAGGGAGGAAATCGGGCCTCCGGTAACCTCACTCAAACGACGAAACACAATGCAAATTTTTCTTTTTATGGCATAAGCCGGTAAACGAGCATACGAATCACCTAATGGTAAGCAATCGGCGTCGCCTGTGGACATCCGAAACACCAGAGGTGTTACAAATGCGTCACCAGCCTTTAGGAGATTAGGAATTTAAGGATTTTTGGGGATTTGGGGAAATTAGGGAGTGAGGAAATCGGGCCTGCGGTAACCTCACTCAAACGACGAAACACAATGCTAATGGTCTTTCACGTCAGTTTCTCTGATGACGTGGTATCACTCCGGTTGAGCCGGCTTATCCGTGGCTAAGCATAGCTCTCCCACACTTGAATGTAAAAGTATATCGAAACTAATATATGAGACGTTATTATAACGAATGATGGGCAACCATAACTCAGACTCACCCAAATGTATAATAATAAGTAAAAAATAAATACTTAATATAAATAAGTAACATAAAATAACTACATAAGTAATTACCAAGCGGGTTCTGTTTTAGAGACGTAGTTCTGTCCAACGCACGCACGTTCTTCTTTGATACAGTAATTACATAAGATACAAAGGCAAACGAGTACCTTAACAATTTAATTAATCGAATAGTAATTACTATTTATCTTTAGCCCTTTACTGTCCAAAACAAAAGCAAAATTAATCTTTACTATTATAATTTCTAAACGCACAAAGCTTTGAACTATCGTGGATTAATTATGTAGGTAGGTTTTTAAGTAATATCTTCTATCAGTAGCTTTGTCCTTTATACATAAAATAAAAACTCTCTGTCTTATTCCAGGCTATAACCTGCATCTGCGCCAATTTTTATCCAGGCCCTTCCAGCTTTTCTGTCGTAATTGAGAAACAAAGATCTATTTGTAGCATCGCATTTTGTACTGTATAAAACGGAATAAGCAACATGGTTTTTTCTTAGGATATAGGTATATCGACGAGTTGGACGGATCCCTTGATCGTAGATCAGTGCCAGTCGAGGACACCCGCAACACCAATGAAGTTACATAACAAGCTTATAGGTGATATTCTTTTTTAAAAGGCGTTAGAACCGAAGCATTCCTTTCCTAAAAGTCTTGGATTATCGTGGTAACAAATTTCTACGTACAAACTCGCGGGTAATGCTTTGTATCTACATATGGAGACCTGTTACAGACATTTTATAATTAACAATTAACAAACATGTTTGTACTTGTTTCAAGTTGTGTATTATGTAATTATTTCACAACAGCATTGGTACTACAATAGGAATAGGTTACGAGAACTAATTATTAATTATTAATTTACCTCTCATTGTGTTCATGCCTATGTTGTGTTTGTGAAGTTACATAGTAGCTTAGTGTTGCCGTGGAACTCTTAATTCTATTTTAACTTAATAATTAGGTGCAATTTAAATTTAATAAGAGTATTTTCGTATCGACCCCAGAGGCGTGGATTCTTTGTTTGCGGTTCTAATGTAGGATTTTTAATAGCATTCTGGCCTCTCCACTGTCGGTCGAGGCTAGAAAACTATACAAAATTATTATTATAGGTTTAAGGTGTCGGGTAGACTAATCAGTAATATTAAGTATTAAGAAAGAAAGAAAGAAAGAAAAATCATTTATATTAAATGTATTAGGTATAAGTTATTCGTGTACGCAATAATCGGGGTGACATTTTCTCCTGTGAAAAAACCCTGTAAATAAATAAGAATAAAAAAAAGAGTATTTTAGACATTTAGAGGACCCAGTGCGTAGCTGTTCACCGAGAAGCTTGGTATAATAGAGGACCCAACGCCCAGGTACCGATGGTGACCATCCGAGCGGGTTTAAATGGGTGAGGATTCCACACTACATAGTTTTTCTCTCCGACGGATTCACGATGTTTTCAAAAAGGGGTAGGCACTATTTAGCAGTTTTGTTTATGTAGTTTCAGAAATTGTATCTAGCTACAGAGAGGCCCTTCCCTCTAGTAGCAGCATTCTCTAAATCTTCTTGTCCTCACAGCAATTCCTTAGCTAACACGCAGGCGTATGGATTATGGCCATTTTTTTTCTTTAGAGGAAGAATATCGTTAATTTGTTCAGCAATGGTCTTACGGCAGTCGATGATAGCTCCGGTTTAGTCCATCATAGATTATACTTAACCAATGTAGTATAAGTTTGCTTGTAGTATTATAAAAGAAATTGGATTCAAATCTATTAGAACTTATGAAATATCAGTAAACTTAACTTGGTTCAATGTCATTCCTAAAAAGAGGAAAGCTTTTGTTCGGCAGTGAACGTATTCCTGGCGATGATGATGACGATAAATATTAAGATTTACTTTAAAAAAAGTGTATGTACCGACTGTAAGTACATACAAAATTATATTCTAAAATTATATCATAAAGTCCCAAAGCTAAGTAAATTCCTTTTACTTAGAAAACGTGTAATAAGTAATGTTTTAGTAATGAATTTCCTTATCATCTTTCCTCCAAGTTAATGCTACGGTTGGGTTATCGTAATAAACATAATTTTACTTAAAGTCTTAAATCAATTAGATACGTAAACAGTTATAAATGAGTAAGTACATTTAACTACGATAAACTAAGAATTTCTAGATTGTTCGTGGTACCAGTGACGCTTTGTCCTGTGCCAGTGTGTCAATATCTGTACCAAATATAAATTAAAAATACATTGTTATCTTACGTATGTATGTACTTATAGCCGTAATCATATCTTTATCGGACATTATACAATGTTTTAATTGTTATGTAAATGTAAACTTTACGTGAGTTTTAAAATCGCGTAAACTGTAATTCACTTAAATATAAACGTTTATCATTAAACATAGATAAAATTTACATCATAACTTAAGTGAGACATACTAAATTAATTATTATATTTTTCGGCTGACTCACGTAATTTGTCACACAGAAGTAGCAGCGCGACAATCGCCGCGATGCGGGTCGCGGAAAACCGCTCATAAATATGAGCCTCTAGCATGGCTTGAAACTAGTCGAGTTTCTCATCAAATAATTACGTGAGTAAGCTGAAAAACAAAATAATTAACAGGTAAAATAGTTCCTACGCAATAATGTATGTATATATAATTTTTAACACGACTGGCCACCGCAGAGGCGAATTCAACCTAAAGTGCATCCTGGGAAAGCACCTCATATGCACTCCTAATTCTTTTTGGTGTCGCCACCATTCTATGGGTGGTGCGTCCTCTGTAACCGGAGCCGCGGAGAACCTAACGGGTAACCGGGGCTCCGGCTCGACGTGCAGGAGAAGGAACGGGGTGGTTTTTAGTCAGTAACAGTCTGGCACTCCCTCCCGCCTCACATAGGCGGGAGCAGTCATTCGACGATTTTCCCCCTTTAAAAAGACACTTGCTCAATGAGGTGAGGTGAACACGACGAAAGAAATGAATACTCAATTCTTTACTCATAATGTTTATAGGATCCGAAGATTCCCACAACCAAAGAGAAGTTAATGTCTTCATTAAGTTCATACAAATATGAAAAAGCCACATTTTGGCACGAAAGAATGGCAATAGCGATACCACGGCCTCACAGAAAACCGCGTGAAATAACGCTTTTGTTACCGGACTTACAATCCTCCCTAATGTGCTCAACCTCCCAAATCCCTATCCCCGAAAGGGCGGACACCCGCTCTTATCCTGTACAGTTACGGATGTCTAGGGCGATGCCGATTGCTTGTCATCGGATGGTTGCCGTCGGTTCGTTTACGGGCTTATCACAATAAAAAAATGCGATTTATTTGATTGAAAATTCGCGTTAAATGAAACCGTGCATTGCTATGCAGATCATAACACGTAGGTATGTAGGTAGGTACCTATCATAAAATAATTTATTTACTCTATACCTACTACTTTATTAAACTGCCAGTGGGTGACTGTGTGGCCTTTGGCCCTGCTATCACACATACGATATCAAGCAAATCGGAACATAAAACAATCATAACATTACGTATTATATGTTATGCAGAGTCATTCTTGAATGTAGCACCCAGTTTTCACCAGTAATATGAACCTATCTAAGACGTACGGTGGTAGCGCAACCAGACACGCCACCGTGGTGTCCGTAAGCTACCAAATAAGACACCACAGTCTACAAACCATACTGCGACAGCATCTAAATCGACCTCTAATGCTGGCGTCCAGTTGGACGCCAGAGGTAATTTTGTTGGTGGCAGTGACTGAATGCGCTGCCATGGTGACCCAGTGAAATATATTTATTTCACACATAATCTATTACTGTCTAGCAAACCCGCATTGAGCTTTTTTAAGGGAGGAAAATCATTGAATGACTTTCCCGCCTGGGTGAGGCGGTAGGGAGAGTCAGATTCAAAAACCACCCCGTTCCTACTCCTGCTCTTCGAGCCGGAGCCCCGGCAACCCGGCCAACCATGTCCCAGACTAGGGCCGGACGCGAGAGGTCGCCGCCGCCGATCACATCCCTGAAGGCACGTCGGTGCTCAGCCCACGAAGGGCATTCCCCTACAGAGTGTTCCACCGTGTTCTTAGGGCGGTCCTCACAGTGATGACACGCGCAAGCACCTTCGCCTCGACATCCTATGGCGGTAATCCGGCAAGGAGGTGCGCTGCCTCCCCGGAGATCGTGCGGTATCCGCGGATCATTTGGATCACCAAGACCCTCTTTGCCGTGAGCAGCGCCCGAGCGGGCCACCACATCAGGTTCGGCACCGGTGCAGGGGTGCTGTAAAGGGCCATGGACTGCACGACCCCGGTGTATAACCTCCGGAAGAAGGCCCCCGAGGTTGGGTAGGACGCGCTTAACTTAGGAGCCAAACGTTGGAAATGCTCGACGAAGTTCCACCAAATGTCAAGGACGAGTCCTAGGTACTTCATTGTCGTCTCGACGTCGATGGTAACCCCTCCCGCCGTTATTTGGGATTCACCCGGAGGTGGTGCATTCCCGCAGCCGGTGATATGATCAAACTATCTGCGTGCGAGAAGAGGCCTTTGGTCAGCAATGGCCACTTATAAACTGAGGATATATGATGTATTACCAACTATTTACAATTTTTTTCTTGAAAGAGTAATAAACAGACGTCCACACATACTCACAAACTATATATGTTTATATGTGTGATAGCATATACTCACAAGCTTCCGAATTTATAATATTAGTAGAATGTAAGTATGGGTTTTAAAAAATCTCAGTAGTAGCACGCAGTCTGGAATTGTGCCAGATTATGGCAATAGGCTCACCCCTATTACATGGGACTCATAAAATAAATAGTGAAAAGTGGGTGTTACATTGTACAGTGGCATAAAGTGCCGTAATGTGCACCTCTGCCTACCCCTTCGAGGATAAAAAGGCGTGATGTTATGTAGGGTGTAAGTAAGACAAATTGGACGTGAGCCACACACCCACAGAAATTATTGTATTATATCTATGACTACTTCGGTCACAATAAAATTCTAGACACCGGTGTTACATCGACAGTTGTTGAAAATGTGAATATCCAATTTCCAATCGACTATAAATAGAGAAGGGGGATTGTATTTCATCTGTGGCGACGCATGCCACATGTCAACGGATGACGTCACAAGAATCCTACATCGCACATGCAAAGTTTACAAGCGATTAAACACGGATAGAAAATCCCAACGAACAACTGTTGGGCAGAAAGCCCACCAGGCACGATCACCTCGCCTGGTCAGAGGATCCTCCTTTTCCGATCTTAGGGAACTATACTCTCTGTTCCCTAAAGTGGTGACCCCGACGTGATTGGAAACAACCTTCACTTCACGGAGCAGATTAGCACCGTCATCCGTATCGCCATCCCTCTCATTCATCACTTCTCCGCTGAGCGGTAATCAAGTCGCAGCCTACCAGCATCCTCGGCCTCATCAGGGACCACCATCACCTGCAACGAAGTTGTGCAGCCTGGTTCTTCCCTACGGCCTCACCAGCGTCTAGGCACAGCACTTCTGCACACGGTTCTGAAGGACATCTCCTCCCGTCAACGCAGATGCCGGCCACTACGCACCTACCCTCGCAGCATCTCTTCCCCGACTCACCGTGGGACACTGCGAACTCATCTCTCCGACTCACTGGAGTTTCACCCTGCACCGCTGACCCGACTCACTGGGCACTCAGCGGCACGGTTCCGACCCACTGGAACTAGGGACGTTCTACACTCTCTCTCGGCTCTGGCGCCACTCATCTCAAGCATCGACAGCAGTCTCAGCGGAATCGACCTCCGGTCTTGGGAGGGAGTGATGTGGCGACGCATGCCACATGTCAACGGATGACGTCACAAGAATCCTACATCGCACATGCAAAGTTTACAAGCGATTAAACACGGATAGAAAATCCCAACGAACAACTGTTGGGCAGAAAGCCCACCAGGCACGATCACCTCGCCTGGTCAGAGGATCCTCCTTTTCCGATCTTAGGGAACTATACTCTCTGTTCCCTAAACATCTATATCGGCTAGAAATCTATTAACCAGTGCAGATCAGTATTTAAAATGATCTACATACATATTCTTTTTGAAAATAAAAGGCAAATAGCAGTCTGTAACCACAATCAATTCAACATTGATGAAATGCCAAGGAAATGATAAAATTAGAAGTAAATCTGAATTTACCGTCGTTCTGGTTTAGGAAAATGGAGAAATCTGACTTTTTTTCAAACACAATCTCAAACTCAAATGCACGTATTTCAATTAAACCATAATTTGGTACTTTTGAAACGTCAACAAATATGAAATAAATAATAGTCTGTCAGTCTGTCCGTCAGTGAAGCTAGGTGCTTGTTCCAAAATGTCGATTCGAATGGAGAACAACGAGCAAGAAACTCCATTCGTTACTCTTTACAAAAAAGTCTTTTTTATTTATATAAAGGTTAGTTTTATCTCAGTACAATGTAAGTAGATACTTGCATAAAAATGTAAACTAAATAACGCAAGCGCATAGCTGTAGATTGAGTTATAATATCCAACCTTACTTACATTGGTACTTACACAATCTAGAAATGTTATGAATGTAATCCATCAAAAAACTGATTTAATAAATTGCAGCTTAACCTAAGTGTTTGGGATGAAAACAAACCTTAATATAATTCTTTTAAAAACTACGTTTAAAAAACCGACTTCAACCCTTCATTTTTTGTAAAGTCGGTTAATTAATATAGGTACTTAAACCTTCTCCTAAATGTAATAAATACTTTACTGTAAACCGCATCAAAATGGGTTCGGTCAATTGCAAGCCAATTGCGCATAAACATACATACATACATAAGTTCAACTTATTCTTAGTGAGGTTTTCCTCAAAGAAATTATATCGCCAAGGCTGACTTTATGAATAGGAAAAAAATAAATGTTTGCTTAAACATAATGGTAGATGAATACTTTAAATAATTAATACTTAAGTACCTAACTATGTAATATATACTAATACCTACTTTATTATATCTATGGGTAATACATTATTCTCATTAAACCACTAATTAACTACCCAGATGTCCCACATTTTACCAATGAGCTGAAATGTATTTATTCTTACCAAGTTATATTAACAGATAATATAATAATTCATTAGTACAAAGACATTATTATTTACTACGAAATATAACGTACCTAATTGTAGCAAGCAGTCGTGGAATACAAATAAAATGAAATAAAAATATTACACACGTAAGAAAAAAGAAAAATAAGTACCTTTTGCCATATTTGATCAGGGGACATTGTTATCTATGTGAAGTTATAAAACACGAACACTAATGTGCGTCTCTTGCGCCGAGCGACTGACAACTGCCTGAGTCGTGCGTCGAGCGAACTCACATAATTATTATTTTTTGCCATTGACAATCGCGAATTGTTGACAAACGTCATTCTATACGTAAATACTAATACAACGCGCGACCCATATCGCTGCAATGTCTTATCACTCATATGAAGCCAGTAGTGTATGTGGCTCACTAAAGATTATCTTGATGAACTGTAATGTAATGATGTAATGTAATAAGTGCTGACGCATCACATCACGCTGCTTAGCTCGCTGCTTAGCCAGCAGGAAACATCTCTGTTAGGTGGCGACGCCTGAAATATATCTAGTTTCTTTTAGAGGTCTCTGCCCGTCTCCGCTTTAATACAATCTGAGTTTTAATACGGTATTTGACAACTAGTCAAATTCAATACTTTTATCGAAACGTCAAAAACGATACTATTCTATGAATTTTGTACGAAGTACTAGCTTAATGACGTCATCATATTTTCGCGTCAAACAGCACACTCATATCAAAAGAAAATGCGAGAATAAATCGAAAATTAAGTATATTGGCAAATCAATGAATGAAAGTGTAACTATTTTTCAATATTTAATTGAACTGAAAAATCTAAATAATTTATTTTTGACCCAGGAAGCTACCCAATTTTGAAAGATGTATATTGCACTAGTTGACCCGGCAAATTTCGTACCGCCTCAATTTCGGAATTTTTTTCCCACCTTTTAAACCTTCCCTGGATTTCCACGAACATTTCAAAAACCAAAATTAGCCAAATCGATCGAGCTGTTCTCGAGTTTTAGCCAGACTAACGAACGGAAATTCATTTTCAATTATAAAGATAGATAGATTACATTCAAAGTCAAAGTCAAAGTCAAAATCATTTACGTCAATTAGACCAGAAAGGCACTTTTGAACGTCAATAAAAAAATTAAAAGTGAAGCTATTTGCTCATTCCAAGGTGTAGATTCCTATGGAGAAGAACGAGCAAGAAACTCCATAGGTTACTCTTTTTCAGTCAGGTTCACAATACTTTTCTCTAGTTACATAGTTTGCTGTTTGGATTGTGCGAGAACAATGTAACACTAAAATTTAGTCAAAGTGATTAAAAAAGAAAATAACCTTAAAGACAATAAATAATACAGTCTGGACCTGACCAGTCCTAGTTGACAGCGCCCGTTGACGAACATGCCACGTACATCAGCACCGCCCAACTCAACCATATTGTAGGGAATCGAGCGATCCACTGCACGCGCCACCGCCAACAAGACCTTTGAGTGAGCATGACAACTCCACGCTGACACGAATGCATTCTACTAGTCTAATTTAATATTAAGTTAATTACAGGGCTCGTTTCGTTTACCATTCGTTTACTATTGTTCAGAACGCAAGTTAGCAATACGAATTCAAAATATTAACTCGTACACAATTACCTGATATACATAAATCGCCAAAATTTGTTTATATAAAAGTAGTCTCTAAATATAGGAAATAAAGTTTAGTCTATAATGGAGTTAGTGGAGAGCGGTCACCGGTGACCGCTTGGGATTGATCAGTATCACATCAACAATCCGTGAAATGTCACGGCCCGCTGTGTGTGACATTTCACTGTCGAACTATGGGCCTCCTTCATAAGAGTGTTTGCCAAAATCTCCACGGTTTACAGAAGACTTGGAGATCATATTTCAAAAGGTCTAGGTTCATCACAGAGCACTACTCCATGTATCTCTGTTCGATCTGATCTTTGTAGACCCCTAGTCTGCATTTATGACAGTCGTAGAAGAGGGTGTCTTTTTTATGTGACAAGCCCGCCACAACCTCCCAAAACCACTGCAACTTCTGTAAGCAGGATCTACAATAGTACAACCATGAAAACAGGAGAACACTGAAGTCCGGCGCATCCCAGGGACATGATAACTGTATAAAGGAAAAGGGTGTCAGTGTAAAGGCGGTGATCGACAGAATAACAATCTTAAACCCTCCTAAGACGAATCAAACCTGTTGCCGCTTGGCGGTTGTGACTGCAACCATGCGTCCAATGAAGCTTTTTAAAAGTCATTATTTAAAACGCTAAAGAAATGAGTTAACAGGTTACAAATCCTGCAAAAGTAAACTGTCTGATAAAGTTATAATTTGTTTAATTAATTCCCGCTCGTGTATTTTAATTAAACAAGCAGTAAGTTACCCCAAAAAAGCAAACAGAGTAGATAATATACATACAGCAGCCTAATTTCAAACTTCAACTTGCGTAAAAATACGAGCATTTAATCTAACAAAATACTTACTCAAATTCAATAACTCGTTTTGTACAATAAGAATATTTTATTGCAAGTATCAGACGCGAATGTCATTGTAATTCATGTCACCCATTATTCAGAAAACAAATGTTGTAAAAATATGAGGCGCTTATAAATATTTAATATTTGTGTTGTAGGCCGTATTGGTTCCAGCACCTGTGTTGGGGCTTATTGAAACACGGTACAGGCGACGCCTGAGGTGCAGGCTTTAGCGGGACGAGGGAGGTTTATATCCTCCCACCCTTCAGCTAGCCTCGCCATTCCATCGGCGACAGCGGCCCGAGCCGGTCGTGTTCTAGAGTCCCGGTTGCCACGAGAAAGTTCCATCGCATCTGGTCGGTAGCGTTGGTTTTACCGCCAACGGGCCATTCATTTTGAATGGCCCCGGGTTTCTTATTTTCTCTGGGCGCCCCGTGATCTCCATTCTTACCGGGGTTTATAAAAGCTGCCATCATGGCGCTCGTCGTCAAATTAAATCGGTTTAAAGTCTTGAAGTGTAAGTATGAGAAGTTCGCGCGGCTCGACTTCAGAGGTAAGTAATTTTACTCGATTTTTTTTTGAAAATTATAGTTTATTTTTACATTATTTTTTTAAATTTTTGTTTCTTAATTTTGTTATAATTTTAATTGTTTTTATTTAAATAAAGAAATGTTTTATTGTTTTCTTTGTAAACTTACTTTTAATACTGTATTTACGTGTTAAATAAATTATGTTTAATCGCCAGCCTGGTTTTAATTACGCTAATGCAATGTGGTACAAAGGTAAAATTATTTTTACCACATTATTAGCATGAAACGTTGAAGGTCGTCGGTGTTGAAACGCCATAGAAATTGCGGTATTCCTTTGTTTTCCTGACACGTCCAGTTTGAATAAACTCTATTCTTCCTGACAAACCATAGGGAGGGGGTCAAGGAATTATTAGAAGATACGAAATACATTTAGCTTTTAGTTCGCTATCTTACGTATTGTTCGTCAAGAATCGTGTCATAAACCGTTGTTTAATCCCTCCGCAATGAGGACCTCGGAAATAATTTATAAAGATTAACTACTGTAGCCACTCCTTACTTTATTACGGTAGCCTTTAAACTGTGCTGAGACAAGATTTTCGTGTTAAAAACCTTCGTTGAGACACAATTTATCCACGGTTATTCGCCTGAAGAGTAATGTCTAGGTCATTACACGTATTTCTCTGAAAAGGGTTGGTAGAAGCGAATTTTCGTAGAAACACAATTTAAGATTAATTAGTGGGCACAGTTACGGGGAATTTTGGATCGACAAACAGAAGGCTAATTTGTCTGATTAGTGAATGAAACTAAGGTTGAGGAAAAACTCCTAGATAAATTTGTAATCACTAGAGTAACGAGACCCCTCTGCTCTTCCAGCGGGGTATAATTAGAGCCAACATTTTAACAAAGGCTAGCTCTGATAAATCTAAACTGAAGTATAAAGCGATTTACAATCTGACTATTGAGCGCGGAGGTCATGGTAAACTCCTCTTTTGTAGAGGAGACTGAAGATACCAATTTTGAGTAATTAAGCCTAAGGACTTACGGCACGTTCGTCTCCCGCGCCCGCCATGGTGGCGGAATGGATGCGTAAATTTTTAAACTCACGTAGCTCCCGCTATTGCGATTATCGCCCGCAAACTTGGCAATTGATTATCACAAGACGGGTGGGAGGTTAAACAATCAGTTGAGTTCCAAACCGATTGCCTTATTGCGATCGCCCGCCAACCGCAGAGCGCGCGGTTGCTAGCCGCCGACGCTGCGGGACCGCGGCCGCTCCTGCCGTGCACCGGCAGGAGTGGGAGCCGCAAACAATCGCAATCGCCGCGGGCGTAAAACGCGCCGCGAAAATTACTTTGATTTTTTACATACAATTCTATATTTTACCAAGGCTGCGGGCTGCCTCTATCAAGGGCCGCCACGTATATCAGTTCTTCCCATCCCTACATGAGCGGCTGGAAAGGACATGGTTTAGGCGCTTTTGCCTATTACTGGAAGCAAATATAACAGCTCACACATAGGACCCACTTATATTATATTTCCTTGGTACTTGGCAACTGGACTTCTCCTAGTTGTACAGTCTCTTTTTTGCCTTTCGGCTTAATTCATCCAGTCTCTGCAGTAATTCACCGAAGGAATTGAAAACTATAGTTTTTTTCTTCCCCTCTTATCATATCTTCTAATTCAAGATAGTTAGTCCACGGGACGCGCTGGACTTCAGTGTTCCAGTGTTTTGAAGGTTGTATCTGCTGTAGATCCTGGCTTACAGGAGTTGCAGCGGTTTTTAAAAGGGTGTGGCTGGTTTGTCCCATAAAAAAAAGACTGCGGGACCACAACCGCGGTGGGCGCGGGAGAAAATAGTGTCGTCTGTCCTTAGCCTAACTTAGAAAATGTTACGTGTGGTAGGTATTATGAACGCGAAAATACTGGTTGATGCTTGTCCATGGTTGGCGCTGATTGCTTTTTTTTTTTTTTAATGGGGGAAAATCATCGAATGACTGCTCCCGCCTGGGTGAGGCGGAAGGGAGTGCCAGACTCTTACTGACTAAAAACCACCCCGTTCCTTCTCCTGCACGTCGAGCCGGAGCCCCGGTTACCCGTTAGGTTCTCCCGGCGCTGATTGCTTATCATCACCTGATTCGTCTGCTCGTTAACAGGCTTATTTCATAAAAAAAATAGTTAGAAGACTTAATAGTGATGTAGGTTTTTTAAGTGGGGAAAGTCTTGGATGAGATAAGATGAAGTATCAGACTCTGA